CACAATATCTTCTGCGAACTCCAGTTTCGATCGTCTACAACCCGGAAGCAAGTCGATGGTACTATCCTCGCACGAAAACAGGACTGTTTCCAAATTCACACCTATAACTAAGTTACACAGAAACGGAGAGAGAGGGCAACTCCGTCGAACACCACTTTCGGTAGTGAGCTGGAGCGAAAAATGCCGTGAGCTGGGCCTCGGCTTCGGCTACTAGTATAAAGAGATCGTAATACTGAGATAAACTTATCGGGCACACCCTTCAGGGAAAGGTAGCGCCGGAGTTTGAAGTAGTCGACTGAGAGGAAGGTTGCTTTCAGGTCGACGAATACAAAGATGGTTAACGAGAAGTGTCGATGCTCCAGAATTTGGCGGAGTGCAAATGTGGTCGATAAAACCTTCAACCAGGTATCAAAGGACCCTGGTTCTCAAGCAAGTGCCGTTCACGTGCCACAGAATCGACGGAAAGAGATAATGTTGATTCTTTAGTAGATTTTACAAGAGAATCTGCCACCTTCCTTGCAAATCGCTAAGATGACTGGCTGACACAATTCAGCTGGAACCGGTTTCCTCCCATATTAAGCCCAGGAGTTTCGCCAACCTCCGTCCTTAAAAGTTGGTGGGAACAGCCCATCTGGATCGGAGGCATTATGCTTTTTGAGATAACCTATTTCCGGGAAACCTCCATTTCAGATGGAGGACTAATCTTACCTGGGAGTATTTGCCCAGTTAAGACGGAGGCGATAGGCCTGCTGTGAATGGGTGCTAGATGAAGAGGACATTGAAATGTTCAGCCCATCTATCAAGATGCCGATGCTATCAGATTCCTCAATTATTTCACTCACGCCCACTTTCCTTGGGCTCGTTTTTCTATTGAGACGGAAAAGAGTGCGACTGTTTTCGATGGCCGCAGTTTGCTTCATCTATCTACACTTCCCCGCCCACCACTTATCGTCGTCATTCCTCAAACTCTTGATGAGCTAGCTCTAAGGGATTTACGCGCTGTCATACATGGCATCAGGAGGTGGGATTCTAGGGGCTTCCAGCAGGGCAACCGAGGTCGAGGAGATCCCTCGTTTGTGCTTTGGGCCTGCGCCGTAGTCCGCCGCTGTTCGCATTTGCATTGCCTCCTTGATTTGCTTTCAGTTTTAACTCAGTCCTTCGGCAAGTAGTTGAACCGATAGACGGTCGAAGAGCACCGCCTCGAAGATTTACAACTATCGCTGGCATTGTATCTTGGGTACGCGATGCCGGTGGCTTTATTGCGGTTGTTTGTCAGGGGTAAAAAGAATTTTCCTCGAAACAAGGCGTGATCTATGTGCGTCCATCTCTGTGAAGCGTTCGGCGGTTTCCCAGTAAGGCCGTGTCGTTTGCTGTGCGAGAATTTGCTGTTTCAAAGGGGAAATTCGTCGTGCACATAGCAAATTAAATGTGAACTGAAAAGATAGAAATCACTGTACAGCTGTTTCGACCTGGTCTGGTACCATCAGCAGTTGGTGTTTGACAGGTACAATCCGTGGTTAGCGCAGAGGAGCTATCTGTCCGATTGATTGGAGTTGCGTGTGTACCGTCAAGAAGCTTTTCTGCTTCGTCCAGGGTATTGAGTATTGAGGTTTCCGGCGACTACTACGACGTCCGTTGATCGAACAGTTCAGAGTAATTAGGAAAAATATTTTTCTCGAATTCATCCTTGATTTCAGGTACACTGAAATCGATCGATGCATACACCGAAAAGACGAATAGGCACCGACGTTTCGTTGCGGATCTGTTGACCCTAAATGAACCATTGAGATGGCTACTGACTGGAATCCAGTCAAGAAGCGAGTGATCAGCCTTGGCACTTAGTGCAATCCCAACACTAGCAACACTGAGTGTCGGATGCCGAATCGGTTGAAGCGTGAAGATGATGCTGGGCCAGGAGGATGCAAGATGACTGAAGTAGGGTCTCGTACGCGTGTTTCGGAGACAACATACCCCTAAGTTCACTGTTTCAAGGGTTCTAGCTAAGGCATCCTGGTGAAGGATCTGATAGTGGGCGGACGTTGAATGAGGTCAAGTGAAAAAGGAACTTTGACTTCGGAATTTCCATAACTTCTGATTGTTTAACCGTACTGGTAAAGCGCTGATTGGCATCCAATGGGTGGTGTAAACATGAGTCACCTGGAATTATTCGGGATTGGGGGGAATGGCTAGACAGATTGGAAAGGGATTTTTCCAAATGGGTGCCAAAGACTGAGGCACGACAATGAGGTAGTTCACACCAAGGAAGTCTTTTTGGGAACCCTGACCGGAGCTTTTGCCTCAAAAGTCTGTCCCACAAGGCAACAGGATGTTTTGATTTTCTTGGGGAACCCTAATCGGAGACCTCGATTTAAATTTCTGACCCACAAAGCAGTGGGCCGACGACAACAAAACGCCACTGGTGTTTGTTCGCTGCCGTATCCAACAAACCAGTTAGCCTTTTGGACCCTGACCTAGAAGACGATAGACACCTATTTCATCCAATAGCTCCAGACACTTCTTCATGCTTCGTCCGTACTTTATCTGCGGTCCTACACATGGTCTTCTCCAGCTCGGAGTGGCTACACCGAATAAGGCGCAGTGTGGTAGACGACAGGTGGACATGCGCAATACGTTTTACTCAGCGAAGCTTAACGGTCTGAATTTGGTGCGCTAAAATATCTATCCTCGATAAACGTTAAAACACGACGGTTTACTTCAAGATCACTTATCCGCTCAATTTATTCCACGTGCGCCAAATTACCCAAGTTGCGTTGGTTGAAATTTTATAGTTGATGGTCTGACAGCCATAAAGCAGAACTCAACAAACAGTGGCACAGTGTACACTACATTTTAATTTTAGTGAAACGTAACCGGTATCTGTGTTGTCCTAGACTCCACGGAGGGGACCTTGTGGAAACGTTTGCTGAGGAATGGGGTAGGTGAGGAGCGTGTCGATCCCGCAAGTCTTGTCCTAATAACTCATGTCAGATTAGGGCCTACGGCCAGCTTTCATCAACCTCTGCAGTTCGCAGTGGAGAGCGACTACGATGCCCCTTGCAACTACCATTAGCTAGGTCGAATACCAAAACAGTGGTGAATTCGGTTCAATTTCACAGCACCCTATAAATGAAGGGGATGTGTACTTCAAAGCAATGTGATATATGGTTTGACAGAGAACTTTGAACTACCTGTGATAAAATAACCAAGCCAATCGGGTCGTAAAAAGTGGAAGTGCACACATCGAATCACAAAACTTTTGATCTTTTTTATTTCCTCAAACCCCTCGGTGAACCTGTTAATATAAAGATAAGGCTTTCTACGCCTCAGTATTCCAGCCGAACAATCAAATAACTGTGCAGGCACCATCCTAAGTGTAAATACTGGTATGAAAATGGAGTCTTTTCGTAAAACTCTCCAGCCTGATCAATCTGATACCAATTATCTCATCTAAAAATAGAGGACACCCATATGACATTGTGCAGTAGAAACCACTGACTGTAATATAAAATAACTGATAGGTAGACGCACATGAAAATACTCAGTTGAAGGATGAACTTGATGCTGGTCTGAAACGGGAATGGTTATGTATAAAAGAGAGGTACCAGGGTATTATACAGAGTGTTCTAATGTTATGTCAGGACTGTGAAGCGAAAGGGCTCCTCAGCACCGTAAGACTTCATTTCAACTTAACCCCAGGGTCACGATATTACTTCATATTTTCGATCCTATGTTTTACGATAGACCCAAGTTGCAGGTTGGTCTTTTCACTTCTCTTATGTATCAATATCCAAAAGCATTAGCACGTTGCCGAAAAGAAGAGATGGCAACCAGATCAGAAGAGGGAACGAAACAATCAAAGTGGGGCATATCAGATAGTGTGGTATACAATGAGACTCATTTTAGATTGTCACATTGGAGTATTTAACACAAAATCAATCTCAGTATATTGCAACTAACCTTGATCAACTTCTGTTTTTCACTTATGAGAGCAGTGATTGTCGTACTTAGGGATTTCAAAGAGTCAACATCCACTAAAAGGTAAGTAGAAAGATGAGCAGTACTTACTTTCCGTAATAGCATCACGAATTAACTGTTCGGCAAAAGGGGAATAGTGAGGCGATTTCTATGACCAATCCAGACTCAGACCATATGCATAAAACATACCTCCAGTTTTGTTAATTTTTCCTTTAGTAGACTATTTAGCTTGTTGAAATCTTCTTTCGTCCGTGGATCGCAGAGATCGATGCTATCTTTTGCTTCAGTCTGCACAGGAGTGGGACCTTGACAATAGAGCTTTGCACCAGGTAAACTCACCAAAAGTATCTTTCAGGAGTCCAAGCTCTGCCTCTTCAGCCAGTTTTTCTCTTTGCAGCTCAGTCATTGATTCTGCTGCTCGTGCTTCTTCTTCGCGTTTTAATCTCTCTTCTCGTTCTTTTCGCTTCTGTTCTTCGCGCTGCTTAATACGCTCGCTAAGTGATGGTTTCGGTGGAGCAGGTGCATGCTGTGTTGTTTTTGGCTGAGCAGGCTTGGTTTCTTCAGCATCCCAAGAGTCCTGAATGATCGAAGATGTGTGAAATTATGGTTGTCGACGCACCTGTTTGGCACACACTGTTCGAAAATGTCATACAACAGTTTATCCAAATTCCTTACAAGGCACCTTTAAACTCTATAAAATTGTTTATTTCGAAAAAAGGTTTTTATCTCGAGTTGTACATCTTTTTACTGATTGGTCGACAAACAACCATCGATCTCTAACGTCGTGATAAGAATATTGCAATGCTTCCACCGTGAGCGAAGCTTTGGCGGTGCTTGGTTGGAATCCGTGTGGCTTACTGTATGAATAAGGAGAAACACGGTAGGCGTAGATGTTGCAACATTTTGCGATTATTTTTCGCTATTTGCAGTTTTCAACAGCCATTTGTGTAATTTAATTCAAGATAACATCAGTCGTTTGGTCACGTGAAGGTAACTAGGAATATTTCGATGCGGCTTTGGCTTTCAAGTTTACCTTCGATGAGTATCAGTCGGATTCATCCACGAAGAAACGTGGAAATTTGGGACGATAAGCGCCACCTTCAGCACCACAACTCTTTCAAAATAAAGCGTGTAAATTTTCTTAGGGGATTCATAAATGGAGCCATCGGATAAGCAAAACCGTACACGCAAGGCGGCCGGGCAGTGTTTGAAGATCCCAAACCACTGGGAACCGGTATCCAGTACATCGGACGATGCGCCCTTTGGACGGAGTCAAAAGTCTAAAGTATTCACTAAGCCTCGAAGCCCAGGCAAGCGGGTGATCCTCGTCAGATTCAAGATGTGGTTCCCACGCCTCTTATTGGTTGCTATGAAATCACCGTACCTAACCAACCCCCTCAAGTGAACCGAATGTGATTCGCCGACCCGGGTATAGCCCTGAACGCCGATTTATAGCCCATACACATTAACGAGGAAACACCGCTACCTCCGCACTAAGTAGGGCCTCCGCAACAGATTGAAAAACAATGCTTCGTTAAAAACAAGTTGCAGAATGATGAATTTGTACGCACTTCCCTGGCTATTTTGAACTCGATCATAAGAACATATACTAAGTTAGCTACTGCACAGCTTCTATGCAAATTGATCCTACCAGGGATTATAGGAAAATGAGATTGGACCCATAGTCAGAAAGGTTAGTGCGTAGTCTTTAACAGCTTTCATAGCTAACTTCTTGTGCGCCATATTTTGGAGATCACAGTCATTAGAAAGCTCCAGGGACGGTGGTTACATGATAACTGGTGAAACGCCAAGCATTGTTGAAGTGTTTTTGAAGTGAATAGGAAAAGAAACGGAGCATAGTCTTTACGATGGACAAAACGCACCGATAAGTAAAGGAAGAGACCTCTGATTGACGAATCTAAAAATACTAAAGAATTTATCTGACAATGATATTTAGCGGGTTCTCCCTCATCAAACAAACCAAATGAACACTTGCTCTCGTTCTAAGTACACTCATTTGTAGAACACATCAAGTGTTTACTGCTTTTGCTACGATTCGTGGTAGGAATCCACATATTGATTCTCTACATCACTTTCTTCAATCTTCTATCCCCATGGCTTAACATTTTTACCAAAGCACAAATCTCTCTGCTCAGATAATAATCACCTGCAATCCCCCTATCATCCCCCACAGTTCTCTTTTTCTCAAAACCGTTATCTGTGCCCGTACTCACCATTCTGTTGCTTCTTCTCGACCTTCATATCTTGGTTTCTCAAACCACAAATTTCAGCCCGTCTGAAACTTCGATTCCCTTATTTTACCTACTACTTTTGTACCACTTACAGCTCCCCGATTAGCTGTGATCGGTCAATCTTCGAACACAGACCATGATTGCGGCAGATCCAAACAACCAAATTAATAATAAAGATTTCAATATCCACAAATAGAAGTGGATAATGCACCCCTCAGACCCTTGGATTATGGGACGCGAAGCAGACTCTTGCTGTAGCCAAAATCTAAACCAACTAGATGACCTCCCCACACGCACCGCCGATCATGTTGGTAACCGCACCCACATCTCATCCGTACATACATTCCCTTATGCTCGAATATCCCTGCTCTCGTCGTAAATCACTTCTCGCTCCGCTTTACTCCAGGTGTACCTTTTGGTATGAATACAGCCAGCTTGGATAGTTTTCATGACCATCTAGCCTGTTACCCCCATAATGACTTGTTTCAAGTCTGGCGTTCTCGCTACTCTTCAAGTGTTCACTAAGATCGTTCCTGAAGGCGTGTATCTTTGTATTCTGCACTCTTTCAAACCCAACAGCCCATGATCTTCCGAATGGTTTCATCATGCTTGCAACCGTGCTATACATTTGAACTTTCACCAGTGTTTTACAACTTTGCTCTACCTTCGCTCCCAGCTCCAACATTTCCACCGCCGACCGGAAGGATTAGAGGTTTCCAACCCATTTTCAATTGATGAACACTTCTCACGAAAACGTAACGCTTCTTTTCCTTTTCTTACTTGGAATAGCAGTGGCCGTGGCACTTTTTGAGTCTCGTCGTGATTAACCTGTAGTACGACTTGAGTGGTATGCTTCCACCTCGTCCACCGGAGGTGGAAGTGCATTTCGTGTTTTGGCCTACTTCTGGGATAGACGGCAAATGTGCAGTAAGCAAACCGAGTGTTGCCTTGCCCGTCTGCCCTTTCCCTGCTAGACCATCGTCCGTTTAGAGTCCTAACGCACCCAAATGGGGTGCATAATGGTACCTCTCTATGCGAGGCCCTACTAGGGCTCTAATGGGTCTGAGGGACTCTCTTAAGACTCTCACAGGACTCTGAGGGATTGGACTAGTACCGTGATCGGAAGACAATACTTAAACACCAAATCGTATTTTCTACACGATTCACACCTATTCCGAAAACTATAGAAATAATATGCATCAATAACGCCAAAACTCTGGGCAATAACTGGAATCAGAATAAAAGGTTATCTAGCACGTGGACAAATGCCTCCATCGGATACTAATCATAGGGGGACTGCTATCCGGCATCATTTCTATCTTTCACGCTACCATTTTCATCACAACCCGCAGTGCGCACATTCAACTTTTGTTGGTACGATCGTTTGACGGTGCTTTCGTAGCGGGAAACTAGAGAATACATATCAGTTACAAGTTCCGGCATAGACAAGCATAATAGTGAGCTCCTTAAACTTTAGCGGCGGTTGTTAGATCCTCAACAACCACGGATTCTCTTATCAGGGAAGCCTGCTGTCCCCGAGAATTCCCACCATATAGTTTTTAATACGATTGATACGAGTCGCCATCGGGGAAAAGAAGGCGTTTTTTAATGTTACTGGATGCGTTCGAGTCAGGGTAACGGAGAGAACAGGGCGACCTGATTTCTGCATTCCCTTTATCAGCACTCTCGGAACCTCCATCCGTGGTAAATCAAAACTGAGNTAAAAATGCAACACGGCTCACCCTTAGTGCACGTTTGCAGGCGCCTGCTTCGTGTGCACCAGTCTTTAAACCTATCGTGGGATCAGATTCGGAGATAACGAATTACCAGGATAACTTAAACAGAATAAACTGATGAGGATAAAATTGGATGGTTGAATGGTCTAAACTATATTTCGATGTATTAATTCAACAAGACATGAAGAAAGAAGAAAAGACCCTTGGATATACCAGAGGTAGATAAATAGTTTTATAACAAGAACTTACGGGAACCGCGTCTACTTCTTCTTCGTCCCAACGACTAGCAAGTTTTTTTGCAACAATATCAGTAGTTTCTTCATCATCTAAAAAATCATATGCATTAAAAAATCCGAACCATACCCCAATCCCCCATTTTTGACCACGCTTCCGGAAAATGATATTAGGCGCAGATCGACTGAAGGTCAGGTCAGGTCAGGTCGATTCACAGAACGTAGCGGCGGCGTG